ACAAGGTACTCAAAGTGACAACTTATTGGACACTGCAACCCAACGAAACAAAACAAGGTACTCAAAGTGTCGAATTCTTAGACACTGCAACCCAACAAAGATAAAGGCTATCGTTCATGATTAACGTAAAAGTTGGTAGGTAGGTGTGGTGATTCAAATTAAACCAAAAACAACTAAAATGTTAAATTTCCAATCGCATGTTTATATATATGTTTGTTTTGTTTAAATCATTGCAACTGCATTTATATGTTTAAATACGTTTAAACGCGTCCATAAATTATGCTAGTCAAATTTTTGTTGCTCGTGTTTTATAGTATGTTTTTCTTTTCAGCTTCCTACAAAGCGCGACAAGTGAGGCTATTATCAGAACCACTAGACTGGTAATTCGTTTGATAAGAGAAAGTTTGACCATGAACTTGTACCAAACATTGGTTTTGGTGCTGAGCACATTCTTAAATACAGTGACTGTAAAACACTGTGGGCGAATCAAGTTTTATAGATAGCCGAGTGAGTAACACCAGAGACAAGTCGTTATATAAAGGAGATTACGATCTCCAATGAAATATTAATAAAAATTTTTAAATGATTATAAAGATTTGTTTGTTTGTAATTAAGCACAAAGATACACAATGGGCTATCTGTGCTATGCCCACCACGGAAATCGAAACCCGGTTTCTAGCGTTGTAAGTCCGCAGACATAACGCTGTGCCACCGGGGGGGGGGGGGCGATTATAAAGAGCTATTGATAAAATTATCGTTAGAAATAAATTAAAACTGGTTATATGGGAATCGAAACGCCCTCTGAAGATCCGTCACTTAGGTGGGACATCAGAAAGTAATTCGAGCGCAGGTGTTTCTTTGACACGTAGTTACGTGCTTATTTAGTATCTCTATGGTCACGTGTTTACGTGCATGGTCAGTGATGAGTAAATGTGTTCACATGACTTTTTTTGCAAAGTTCGTTAGTCCCAAACCGATTCAATGTCCTGCGTGTTAAAAGTTGCTTGACGAGAATCGATGGTGAAAGAAAAGAAGCAATTCTTATAATCCTGCAACCATCATATGTAACTGGTTCTTTATCACATTACACTTAGCTTGGTGCAATTTGTAAGAAAAAAATAGATTAAGCAGTTAACTTGTGAACGAAAAAAAAAGAAGATAAATTGTTTTCAATCAAGAAATCTCATTTTGTGAAAGATTTTGTGGTTCATCATTTGGCTATAAGTATAACCGTAGGTCAAACTTAAGCAGTGAAGCAAAACATTCCGATAAATCATATAGTTTGTTCTGATTTTTTTTTTCAATGACTTATCTATAAGCCTGAAAATGTCCAATGTAATTTATTTAAAATATGGCAGAAAATATTTACAAAAAAGGGCAAAGTACTGGATTAAGAAAAATCGCAGAAAAAACTGTTCAATTAAGTTGGTCATCCTGTTTTCCAGTTGAAGGTAAAGATCAAACCTCTTTACTTTTTGTTTTACCAACTTGAAGAATTGCAAAATCTTACATGTAGGTTTAGTAAACGAAATTGCTGTCTTGATAAATCTCCAAGAAAATAAAGGGTGAAAAACTCGTGTTCCTGATGAGATGTATAATGAGGTGATAATTGTATTTGTTGGCTGTTGAGAACAAAGATGTATAATGGGCTGTTTATACTCTACCCACCAGGAATCGATCCCCGCTGAACAACCTGTAGGGTTTGTTTGTTTTGAATTGCGCGCAAAGCTACACGATGGCTATCTGCGCTATCCGTCCCTA